AATTCAAGAGAATATCGACAAATCTATCTACATATTTTCTTAGAAGCTATATGCACACACACACACGTAAATAATTAATAATATAGACACTATTCACTACTCATTATTTATTCTTGGCTTGGTCTGTTTGTTTCTTTCTTTCTTCTTGCATTCGCTTTTCATTAAATGTCATCATCATCATCATCATCATCATCATCATCATCGTTATCTTAAAGAAATACGAATAATAGAAAATCCGTAAAATGTGCAACAGCTACATGGACATTTAATAGCATAGCTCAGCTCAGTTTTAGAATTGACAGTCAATCACAAACAACATCAATAAAGATCCCCCCTCCCCCGAAATTATTATTATTATTAATATAGAAAATAACTCGAAGATTTTTCGTTGCATTCTCTTGTTTTTTTTTTTTTTTTTTTTTTGTCCCTTTGAACACAAACCAGGATTAGCATCAATAAACAAAATCCTTAAACCAAATGTTTACTATATTAAGGTTTTAACGAAATTCTTTTTCTCATAACTATTTATAAGAAAAAGTGTTCAGTGTCTTAAGCTAAAAGAAATATTTCGATTTAGTTTCCTTTCGGTTTTCTTCTCCTTTCGATTTTCGATTGCAAAATAATGCGAAGACTTATTCGGTCGATATGATTTGAATTGACTTGATCGCAATGAAACGCCAAAAATTAGTACGATAAACAAGTAAGAACATTATGGTCGGGTAAGGCCGATCCTACATCACATTGTATAACACAATTCTTATTTTCATTATAGAACACAACAATTACATCTTTATTCCCACATATTTATGAGGAAGCCACATTCAATAGCGTTCGTCCTTGGATCAGAACACGTCACTTTACCAAATTTCATCAGAATATTTTCAAAAATTGTGACCTATAGTTTGAGCACAAAATTACATGGACAGACGTCAGACGGACATTAATTGGCCATTTTTCAATTCAATTCACATAAATATCAGCTGAATTAGGCTATTTGTGTTAATAGTTCGAGAGGCGAGCATAATTCAACATTATAGCAGCACAAGGCCCTGAGCCAAAAGTATTCACATCTTTATCTATATATTAATATTTCAATAAAATGTAATAAAAAAGTACGTGAGCACCATTGTGGCTCTTTGCACCGGGGGTTTTGAAAGTTCAATAAATCAACGCTGATTTACTGATTATTCTACTGATTTACATCTACGTACGACATTGACATTGATTGTACGAACCTTTAGAAGAGTTGATTTTTGATGTCAAGTATGATGTCAGATATATTACGATTAGATTGTGAATCCCCGCACTTGGGATTCTTAGCAAGAAATAAGAAGAAAGAAGTAAATAATTCGTAATCGGTTTTACATTAACTAAGCTTCCAGAGAGTATCGAACAGGAGCGTTCATATAGAGTCAATAACTTCACTGATCAATTTGATCAAGTATGAGATTCCAAGTATAGAAATTGACGGTTCTTCACAGAGAGTAATGCTATGAGTAGTAATCTATCTTCATGGAGTGCTAAGGTTACAAGGGAGCATCGATTCGATCACTTCCGCATAACAGCGATAGGAGATAGGATGGAGACCGTATCTACACATCATATTCTAATATTGGTCTACGTAACGTCACATGTTGCCTTTTCGTAATGTATCGTAATCTTCAATCCGTCTTCATTTGTAGTGAATAAAATGTGTAGCAGTTAAAGCATCAAACTTTTCTATCAACACTCGCCGAAATATTTAATTCGTAAGTCATATCCGTCAGTCATCTCGCCATTTATACGAGTTTATAAATTATTTCCTTACAAAAGATAATTCTTAACCTTTTTCAAGTTCGATCTTATTAATGATTATTGTTATTGTTAATTGAATTGCCTTTCATGGCGAAGAAAACTAATAAAGTTCCCTAGTTTGTCTTTTCTGGCAAGCTTAGTATAACTCTATTAGGAAAGTTTGTGTAGCAATGTCAAGGAAACCAGTTGTTCCAGCACTTTATAACCTATAGTCGATATCGATGTACTTTCCAATACAAGAACAATTTACAATTTTAATGCAAAATTATCTCCTGTCAAATTGCTGCTAGGAATCAAATTAACTAAGAAAAGATTTCTATAGACTTTTAAAAATTAAATTTATACTTTTAAAAGAGAAAACATTGCGTGCGAATAAAATACAACAAAATCTACTCATTGATTATTCGATGTAAGCTGTACTAAGCTAATAAGCTAACGTACAATTCGATTCAAGTTCAATGAGTCCTCTCCCTGACTCCTGATCTCTATGGCACCTGTTTTGATTGCGTTTATTTCAATTGCACGAACACTTCTAAATAATTTTGAAGCCCTAAAATACTTTTTGTTCTAATTTAAAAAGGCGATCAGAATTCTTGCAATAATTGTAATAAAATTGTTTCTCTAGATTTGAGCAAAATGCAAAAAATTTGATTGATGAACGAACTTACATGCATAAGTACATGAATTATTTAAACATAATTAATTTCTATAAATATTCCATTACATGTAAGCATTCTGTCAAAAAAGTGAACGGAATTACGTAACGTAAAAAGATTTTTAAGTCAATCATGAAAACTTATATGTGTAGCTTTTCTAAAATATACTAACCTGTACTACACTTAACCCACTTGTTAAAGCTTAGAGTGCCTTGCTTTCTTTGACTTTTTCCTCTGGCTTCTTAGTTGACTTGATGTTAGATTGGGTGGAAGGAAAAAATTCTAAGAATTAATGTCGAGTTTTTGGCCGCAAATTGTAAATGGGGATACAGGAGTTTGAACTCATTCGGAACGAAACGAAATGCGCGATACTTTATGCCGAACAACATCGAACATCGAAATGCCGCAATGCCCGGCTATGGACAAAGACCGGTATACAGGTAAACGAAAGTGTCTTGCTGAAGTTTAAATGATAATGATTTTCTGCTTTGTTTTGTGTAACTAATAAAAGAAATTATTTTAGTTAAATGATTTTGCGGACATACATACATAAACACTAATATTACTAAAGAGTGATTACTTTTTGATATAACGATTAAATGAATTATAGAAAATTCCTTATACTTTTTTGACAGAATAGATATCCGCTTATGTCTGAATCACTTGAAGTGAGATCGCTTTTAATTTCCAACCTAATGAATGATATCTGCTGCATCACGCTGCAACAATGATAACCAATATCATGAAGTTTCAACTTTTCAGCACTTTGAAAAGCGCAAACATCACCAGAAAATAAGAAAATAAGAAAAATTGCATCATTAAATATAATGCACGAGTTTTATTTTTCCTTTTTACCTCAACACTTTAGCAGCTTAACATATACACGCTTATAAGCATACACACCATAAGTGTGATGACCAGAAATGTAAATAATTTTTCTTTATCCAATAAAGTAAAGAGGACAAAAATGAACGTAAATACTACATTGAGTTGAATTGAATGCACTTGAAACGGAATCCCCCTTAGCTGTACGCTTTGTTTGGGGGATCATACTTGAAATACCAGCGCGTGTGTGGTGTGATATTCTTTAAAAAAAAAAATCCAGAAGAAGAAGAATAAAAAAAAAAAAACACAAACACAAAACTTGGCTGTATTTGTAAACATGACAGAGCAAATTTTTATTTATAGAGTATAAAAAATTATAATCATATCATATAATAATAATAATAATAATAATAATAATGATCATCGATAATGAAGATCATTACGATTATTGATATGGTTAATGGTGATGAGATCAAACTATTTTAAAGGTAAGTGTGTGCATATCGTCCTATGTATTGCACTTGATGACATGCGCCTCATTTTGATATGTGATAAATCGCTTAGTTACATTAATTGGAGCTTTCTCTCATTAAGAGACATTCTGCTCTCTTTCTTTTTGTTTTTTTTCTTTTTTTTTTTATCAAACAGAATTGCAAACTGTTTCCAGATATTCCTCCGTCATAAGGACGGTGTGTAAGCAATTAAATCTGCTTATCGCCAACATTCACAAATACGTTTGCAATTGTCCTCTCACCATCTGTCTGTGCAGATCTTATTAACGCGGAAGCTTCACGTAATCTATATGCTGATATGAATCTTTTTAAAAGAAATTTCATTTTTTACTTATGTCCGTCTTAAGTACTTCTCAGTGTCGCATACATCCGCACAAACTTAATATACTATGCGTGCGTCAAGCGCACTAGGATATAAGAATCGATCGGTATAGTAAAAGGTATGCCTATCTTAAGTACTTCTCAGTGTCGCATACGTCCGCACAAACTTAATATACTATGCGTGCGTCAAGTGCACTAGGATATAAGAATCGATCGGTATAATAAAATGTATGCCTATCTCAAGTTCTTCTCAGTGTCGCATACTTTCGCACAAACTTAATATATCTTCCGTACAGCATACGTGCAGCATACAAAAATACAGGAGCTGCTCATTTATGTTTGCTACTCTAAAAATTATGCAGCGAGAGCTTCCTTTGACTTTTTAATTGCTTAAATAATGGAGCAACACATGTCCGAGCAAACGGGGGCCAACTATCCGATTGCAGTTAAAGACCTAAACTCCCTCTTAACTGCATTTAAATACGGCTATGAAACTTGTCGGCGAAATGTTCTCTACTTGAAATTGGATGAAAAGTCACTGCAAGAGATACTGAGACCCGTCACCCCAAACATTTCGTAGGCATAGTGCTTAAATCCCAATACAGCACTAAATGTTATGCTTCTTCTTTTTTTTTGGCGACTATTTTCATTAAGTTTTCTGGCTTTGAGGATTTCAAGTAACGATGGACCAAAAAATCCTCTTAGACGCCCTCAACTCTGTATATCCTTATATAAAAAAAAAAAAAAAAAAAAACAAAAATAAATATTTTCGGTAAATACAATGCATATTTTTACACAAAGCGACGTTCGACTTCAAAAAGGTAAAGTACAAGATTATAAATAAGTTCACTAGGAATAAATAAAATTATTTTATTGTATTTAAAATGTAATTATTTTTTTATTAATTTCTTCATTAATCAATTTATAATTACTTTCAAATATTATCGTATTTGTATTCATGAATTACTACAATATATAAAAATAAGATGATAATGTATCCGATTCGAAAGTTAAAGAAATTTAAAAACAAAAATACTCTAATTAAATATGAATAAAGCAGATAATAAATAAAAATTTAGCTAAACTCTGAATAAATTATGAATAAAATAAATATTTGGATAATATTTTTGATGTAGTACAATTTTGGTTCTTCTAGAAGCAAATTTTTTTTTTTTTTTTTTTTTTTTTTTTTTACAATAAAATAAGAATAAACAAAGAATAGATGACCTAAACCACGTACACAGAAATACATAATAAATGAAATTGAATTCTATAAGTATGTTTGTGATCAATGTAGTTAAGGACGTTTTAATTCATTTGAGATTATTTGATTTCTCCTTTATGTTTCTTCCGCAAAATTTTTGGCTGATTAATCCTTAGGAAGAGGAATGTCTTCGCTTGTATCGTTTTGGTTTAGTTTATATAATAACATTCGTAATCGTTTAATACACTCAAGTGTTAATTTTGGTTCCCATTTGTTTTTTTTTTTTCTAATTTGTTTTTTTTTTTTTTTTTTTTTTTATACACATTATGATGATATTACATATAAACATAAATAAAAATAATAATCAGTAATTAGTTCCTTAATTGCATTATCATTACGATCAATATCAGCACAGCAACCACAGTTAAAATGCTAAACAATATCAATTTCTTCTTGCGTATTTTATTCTAAAAAAGCAAACGCATTAATTGAATTTTGAAATAATTTTTGGAAAATATATTCTCTCGTACCTTATAAGAACTAGCTTTACGTAAATTATCTGCTGCTTGGGATACAAAAACGCTAGTTTGTTCAACTGATGACTCTATAGAATCGACGGTTAAGCCTTGCTCGTAAACCATGGCTCCTAATTTCTTATAAATCTCATTAACACCGACAATGTTATTCTAGAAAAATTGAAATCATTATAAATTTGTCACAATTTTTTTTATTTATAGCTATTTTCCCCTTTTCCTTACCTCCAATTCTCTAATCACTTTTTCTTGTTCTTCCAGGGCTTGTAAATCAATTTCTTCTTGCACTTGCATCTGCTGTTGTTGCTGCTGTTGCTGTTGCGATTTTTTGCCAAATATGTTGTCGTCAAAAAAGGAATTATTACCACCATTGTTTGTCGTATTATTTGAACTACCTGGTGGCTTGGGTATATTGTATTGATTGGCTTTAGCTTGATGCACTTGATTTATCTTGATATCAAGAGTTTTACGTTGCACAGCCTAAAATGTAAATATAAAAGAAAGAATAATGAGAAGATAAGAGTCCTACTATCAAAGTTAATAACAATGTTGTAGTAATGCAGCATTTTACGATGAATTACACTAATCAATAAATCGATAGGAAATATTGTTTTTTTATTTATTGAAGCAAGTCTGGAATATCAGTCATGTAAAGCAATAATGGATTTCAATTTTTTGATGTGCTATCAATATGCTATCGAAAAGAATAAAGTTTTCGATAATTTTCAAGCTTGTTCCCTTGTTTTGAGTTATAGCTAATCTAATCAAGATTAATTCTTCGCTTCTTAAGGAATTAAATTTTCCTTTATATAGTCCGCATAGATCCCCAAATCTACTGATCAAATACATAACTAAGCTGAGGAATATTTGATGCTTACTCGAACCTACTGTAAGCGAATACACAAAATATTATCTATGAAGTTAATTCATTACATATAAACAAGTAAATATATGTACATATATACGTATAGGTCGGACGGTGAGACTGTGTCCACAGCATGGTCGCATATTCGCTCTTTTTCTTATCACGTTCAGTTTAACAATAAGCTACATCTCTTCCTATAGGTTGGCAGTATAGTGAGAAAGCGAATAAATAAAAAAAAAAAAAAAAAAACAGGCCTGATCATCAATTCACCTCAAATCAATATATACAGGCGTCTCCCTCATATAGCACGGTCAATTCGTACCAGTGTGCTATACGAAAGTTTTTCATTAATTAAAAACAAAAAAAGAAAAGAATATAATAAAATAATATAATTTAAACTTAGATATAATATCCTAACGTGGTGTGATAGATTGAAATTGCGTACCAAATCTACATATAAATGAGAAACTAAGTAAACTTCATAATAAAACAAAAAAAGAGAAAAATTTTCATTAAATTTAATTTTAATAATTAATTTATTTAATTTATTTATTTTTGTTTTTTTACAAAGTTAGTTGAAACTTCCCTTAATTAGTTATTTCTAGTCTTATTGTGTTGTATCATCACGCTCGTATAATAACAATATGTAATCTCAAATTTTGTACTGGATTGCAGCGAAACCATGTTTTACAAATATCTCATTATACGAGTGCGATTTGTATTGAAAAATATTTAATTTATTGTGAACGTTTGTCGACATAAACAATTTTATATTGATCTTTTAGCTGGTGTTAATAAATATTTTTACCGATTTCCGAAACTCTCATAAAACTACACTTTTTAGGTTCTCGTGAGCGGATTGTAATAATTTATTCACTGCATCGCATTGTGTGCATAAACTAAAACGGTATATGTTTCATTTCAATCTTCGCATAGCGAATCACACAAGTGCACATACACAGAGATAGGGACGGACAAATGGATACTGTTAAATCGACTCGAGTCCCACAATATATATGTATATATATACTTTACAAGATATTTGACGTATATTTCTGACTATAACGAACAGAAGGACATATCTAATATATCTGCAACTTTCGATCGTGGATATGAATGAAAATCTACAGATGTAACAATTTTATTCGCATACATGTCCTACAAGAGGACAGACTACTATGCGTAGATGTGTATTTATATAGAATATATATCTACATATATGCATACATATACATATATCCATATTTGCATATATGGAAAAATAGGCGTGAGATTAATTTTTCCGTTCTATGCCATACAAAATGTAAAAGGTAACTTCCACAGTGCTCACACCACGTTTTCGTAACACAGTTCAAAATTAATTCCCACGGAATCGCATGCGAGTTAGTTTTGTAGTAAAATGTTGCGAGCTTTTATGTTGCTTTAGTACGTTTTTTAGCTAGACAGTGAAATAGATGCGTCCTCTTTAGAGTTGGGAAAAGTAAAGTGCTTTGCAAAATTTTCTTGTAAAAGTGGACTTCAGAAAGGAAATGCAATATGAATTGATGTTTATAATAATACTAGATAAGTCGAACTCGTCATTGGAGACATGAAGAAGGATGGCTAGATCATCAGCTTCGAAATCAGGCAAAAACGTACAAATTTATTGCCATGTTACTAATTCGGTCACATAACTTTGTTATGAGTGCTTTAAACACCCAAAAAAAAAAAAGTGTCGAGAGGCGCGGAGTAGTTAACAAAATTCCTCCTGCAAAGCGACATCCCGTCAAGTTGTGTAGAGCAATTACAAATGAAATTAGAAATGTTCTGTCACCCCGAACTGTTCATCGACATTTATTAGGTGCTAATCCACGAGGAAGAATATTTCGGAAAATTCCCTTGCTCAGGAAAGATCATTTGGAGAAGAGGAAAGACGTTGCTTTGGTCCATAAAAATTGGTTCAAACCAAAATGCTGAAGAAAAGTGGAGAAATTTAGTTTGAAACGACCAGAGAGAAATAAATTTGTTTAGAAATGATGCGGGAAGAAGTGCACTTCAATTAAAAGGAAAAGAATTCCACGCCAGATTTATTAAAAATCTGTAAAGCATAGTGGAGGATATCTAATGGTAATGGTTGTTTTTCTTGGGAGAGCAGCTCAGACAAAAAAGCACTATGGACAAATTTGTATGCCAATGCTATGAGAATTTCAGCAGGATAATAGCCCGAAGCATTCAATTCAATTCGATGAGAGCACGATTCTTCGATCATATCTTGAATGTCATGGAATGACCAAATCACTCTCCCGACCTCAATCCTGTTGAAAATGTTTGGGGAGGACTAAAGCGTCATGTTTCCTGCAGCATATTCAAAAAGTCTGGTAGAATGTCCCAATACACCCCTGCGATAATGAATTTCATCCATCCCTACAGAAGTCGAAGCTATCCTGAAAAATGCTTAGTGGTTATATCGGCTATTGACCATTTCATATAATGTCCCAGTAGACCACTGCGATGATGAATTTCATCCATCCCTACAGAACTCGAAGCTATTCTTAAAAACGCTAAGTAGTTATATCGGTTATTAAATATTTCAATTGATTTCTATAAAATTAATCTTTGTCTACTTTGGAGTACAATATTTAGCATTATTTTCAAGTTTTTGTATATTACTATCCACCTGGAAACACTGCGATATTTTTGAAATGAACTTCTATTAAGTTTTTGCTTATACTTAGCGTAACTTTAAAATCACTTTTAAATACGAAAATGTTCATACTTTATAAATGAATGATAAATATAATAAATGATAAGAGGAAAATGAAAAAGAGTACTCTCCGACAACATAAAACAACAATACGCCTATCTTCCGGCCTATATGCGTATATCGTCGTATATACATACATATATGTATATATATATATATATTAATAATTAAGTTCTGGTCGTTCTATGGTCGCATTCGTTTATCACAGTTTGTATATGTTAGAATTGCGCAAATTTTTGTGTGAACACGCCATACGGTCATGTAATAATGTACTTATGCTTACGTGACAAAACAAAAAAAATTTCAAATATTAAAGGAGTCGATATAATTCTTCTTAAGGCAGTATTTCCATTTCCTAAATTTATATACGGAGTCGTGGAGTCATAAATATATACCAAAATATTTACTCTATCATCATAAAAAAATTTTACATAGGTGACTATTATTAACCAAGCAAGAACAAGATAAATAAATTGCAATAATTACTACAATCGGAGTTGAATTATATTCGCGATTGAGAAATTATTAGTTAACCGACTATGTTTACAAAACTAAAACATACATATATTGACAACACTACTACCAGGTGAATCCACGTCTAATATGCACCATTGAAAAAAAAAGGCAAAATGACAAAATTAATATTAATGTAATCTTATCGTCTGTACATAAGGTCTTTTCATTTACAGTCTTTAATTGCACCTCACCTTTTTTTTAAATCTGATCGTTCGATCTGTTTCATCGTACATGTCCGCTTGTTGGTGCACCACAAGTTCTTGTTGAATATTTAAACTCGGCATACATATTCTTGCTATAGCTGTACAGACCGAGACTGAAAATGGTGTTTCGACAATCAAACCTACAACATTAAGTCAAGCTTGAAGAGAAAAACCTCTAGTTTATATTAATGTAATGCATTCATCAAATTTACTCGAAATGCTTTATCATCCCTCCGGCGTCTAAGCAAAACACTTTGCAACTTTTCTATATTATGTACGAAATAGTGAGTAAATAGCCAAGCTTGATAACTTATTTTTTTAATTAATAAAATAATATAATGGATAGTTACGTTAAAAAAAAAAAAAAAACGTAATGCCCTATATATTTCGGTCATAATACTTTCTGTTTTTGCAATGCACCAGATAAATGAATTTTTGCACTTGCATCACCGTTATCATACAAGGTTTTGTCGTGATAAATATGGGTTTGGTAAAATATTGTTAAAGAGGATGAGCAGCAAGAAAATACCAACCTGAAAAGCAGTTATGGCCGTTGTAAATTCATCGACCAAACGATCCCGCTGTATCTTTAAATGGCGTTCTCTACATTTTTCTACCTCATCAAGCTGATTACTGGTATCGGACACCACTTGATTCGTATAAGTCATAATTTGATGTCTAAAGAAACATTAAAAACACAAAAGCAAAAAGAGAAATGAAATATGAAACCTTATATGTTTCTTGCAAGCTATCTGGTTAAGCTTTGAAAACAAACAAACACATGAGATTGTATAATAAACACATACAGTTGTTTTTTCAATTCAGGCGAATCTTGAGGGGTATTGCATTGATTAACCATACGTTGCATAGTAGAAACTATAATTTTGAATAGAAATTATTGTTGTTATATGTTTTTTATAAAAAAATGTTAAGCTCAAGTTACCATTTTGTACAATTTTCTGTATACTAGTGGCTATAATTTGAGCCAATCTTTGAAAATCTATTTCACTCAAGGTCCCCGTATTTCCGACAGTACCTCCTCCTCCTCCCATACCATTTTCCATATGCTTCAAGTCCATACTTTCGTAAGCACTCAGTTTGCTAATTTTAACTGGCTCTTCTTTCAATGTTTATTTATTTAATCAATTATTTCAACTTTTTATACTGATTGCGTATTTTTTTTTTTTTTTTTTTTTATCTGCTAATGCGAAAACGATACACCTCTTCTTTTTTCCGATATAGACCTTGCATATATGTAAGACGCAAAATTGGATGACTTCACTAGTTGGGAATGCGTTTCCTTTTTCTTGTTTTTGCTTCTTGCAAATTTAATGCACTTTAATATAGTTCAATTAATTTACTAACTTTGCTTAACTATATTTCTTATTTCCTGCTTTTCGAAACTTTCTGGCTATTTGTCTGCTGATTGCTTTTACATTCACTGTTATTCGCAATACATTTGTAATAATTGTCTTCCCCAAATCTCCCCCAGATAGCACTAATTTTTTTTTTTATGGACTTTTCAGAAAATGTAATGCCGCAAAGTAATAAAAACACTTTATGAATTTATCACTTGATTTAACGTGGATGTGTATCTTCGGTTTTAATATTTTTTAAAAAGTGTCTTCGCTAATTTTGCTTAATTTCGAAGAAAACTCTTTTAAACATTTCGTTTTTTTCCATTAATATACTTCACAATACCATTCATACTGTAATAGGGCTGCCAGGTTTTATACATCATTCAAAAAAAAACCCCAGTCTAAAAGAATTGAGACGACAGATTGTTTTTTGAATTATCATTAAAAAGATACATATTATGACATATGGATACTGTATATGAATGTGATGCATTATAGATATCACTGGATTTACCTTATGAGCAAATAGTCAATGAACATTTCCTCTCACATAATGTAGTTAATTTATTGAAGTCTACAGACTTGTGCTTACAAATTTATACATAATTTATGCTAAATACCGTATAAAAACGGAATATCGTAAAATGATGGTATTTTTCTTTGAAATCTCTTATGGGGACAATTAAATCATAGTATCTGAAAGAAATTGTTAATTGGGGAACACTACGTGTAAATTTGGATCTGCAGAATTGGTTTTTTTTTTCATGACACATCCATTTGATTAGTCGAGGTGTGGTTGCAAGAATTCGTAGAATTTCGCGAACTTAATTCTATAAAACTGAAAATTTAATAAGAATTATATTAAATAAAGTTAGTGTTAGGACAATATCCGATAAAAATATAATGGCCAACAGACTACCGGCGTGTGTTATCGATGTGGGCACCGGGTAAGTGCACTCTTAAAAAGGTTGTCATGGCACTCGGTTTGTATATTTGTGTGCGCGAAAAGGAAAAATAAGAACGATAGCGGGGGAGCTGCGCGTTTAAATATGTCTTTTTATATTCAAAAAGTGATGAAAAATAGGTCACCGCATGTCTATAAATTGATATAACAATTGTATTTATTTGCGATTATTTGCTTTCTATTTAAAGCTACACGAAAATGGGCTTCTCAGGTAACAAAGAGCCCCAATTTATAATACCTTCAGCCATAGCTATAAAAGAAACAGCACGAGTAGGTGACACCAATACAAGACGTATCACAAAAGGTGTAGAAGATTTGGATTTTTATATAGGTGACGAAGCATTTGAGGCCACAGGATACTCAGTTAAGGTAGTATAGAAAAAGGCTCTAACAGATGACTAAATAATAATTATCAATTTGAACTTTGCACTTCTTTCTATTAATAAACAAATAATTCTTAGTATCCTGTACGTCATGGCTTAGTAGAAGATTGGGACTTAATGGAACGTTTTCTGGAACAATGCGTATTCAAATATCTGCGTGCCGAGCCGGAAGATCATTATTTCTTGTTGACAGAACCTCCCTTAAATACTCCCGAAAACCGTGAATACACTGCTGAAATTATGTTTGAGACATTTAATGTTCCTGGTCTTTATATAGCCGTACAGGTGTGTGGTATTTTAAAGACATTTTTAATAATTTGGCCTATCTGTGTATATGTTTAGGCTGTTTTAGCTTTAGCTGCTAGTTGGGCTTCCAGACCAGTCGAGGAGCGTACCCTCACTGGCATAGTGGTCGATAGTGGCGACGGTGTTACTCATGTTATTCCAGTGGTGAGCACTTGAACGTTTTTCCTTTCTCGGCAATTGTTAAAAAGTAATTTCTTTGGAATTTAGGCAGAAGGTTATGTTATTGGATCTTGCATTAAACACATACCTATTGCCGGTCGTAACATCACCTCATTTATCCAAAGCTTGCTGCGTGAACGTGAAGTGGGCATACCGCCTGAGCAGAGCTTAGAAACTGCCAAAGCTATTAAAGAAAAACACTGCTACATCTGTCCCGATATAGCCAAAGAATTTGCGAAATATGACTCGGAACCAGGCAAATGGATACGCAATTATACGGGCGTTAATGCGGTCACAAAACAACCCTTCACAGTCGATGTAGGCTACGAACGTTTTCTTGGGCCCGAAATTTTCTTTCATCCAGAATTTTCAAATCCCGATTTTACTAATCCTCTATCGGAGATCGTTGACAATGTTATACAAAATTGTCCGATTGATGTGAGAAGGCCTTTGTACAATAACATCGTTTTGAGTGGTGGATCCACAATGTTTAAAGATTTCGGACGTCGTTTGCAGCGGGATATTAAACGTTCAGTGGATACACGTTTACGCATAAGTGAAAATCTTTCGGAAGGTAGAATTAAGGTATGATTAACTTAACCAAACTTTCTCTCTAGATGCTACAAATTTAATTTTTTTTTTTTCTTATATTGCTAAAAGCCAAAACCAATAGATGTTCAAGTCATTACTCATCACATGCAACGTTATGCAGTTTGGTTCGGTGGCAGTATGCTGGGATCAACGGTACGTTATTATTATTTAATGATATTAATGTTTATTATTCAAAACTGGTTGTTTTTCAGCCTGAATTTTATCAGGTCTGTCATACTAAGGCTGCTTATGAGGAGTACGGGCCCGGTATTTGCCGTCACAATCCTGTATTTGGTACCATGACATAATTTTTTTTTCTCTTTTTTTTTTTTTTGTTTATCTTCCTTCTCGTATGAGTACAGTTACATCTAATTTTCTAATCTAATTTCGTTTTTCTGTATAAGCCTCTAAATAATTTTAAAGTATTACTTTTTTTTTTTTTTTTTTGTAAAAAATATTTTCTATGGATGTTTTAATCTATGTGTGTAATTTTTGCAATTTTTAATAATGCATTTTTTGCTATGTACTGCTTCTGAATATCCAATACATAATTAATTTGTATATTCTTTGATAATCAACCTCATCTAAATGATGAGTCTTTTTCCCATATATGTAAAAAAGACAATGATTCCATAGTTTTTCTAATTTAACTCTCGTTTTTTATTTTATATATAAAAGTCTTTTTCTCTAATCATAGCTAGGAACACGGTTGATCTTAGGTAAAGTAAGTCGATATTAAGAGATGTGTATGTGCTATCTATGACATGAAAATAATATAAATACGAACAGTGTTTCACACTTTATACAACAAAATTTACTTTTACTTTACCTTAGATGTATTTCTAGCTTAAACTGAACATAACGACCAGAAGCAACAAATATATATGTTTAAATATTATAATTGATTATGCGAATAAAAAACGAATGAAAATAACCAAAAAAAAACCCAACAATATTATACTCGGTTTAAACCGAATATTTTTTTAGTGCCTACCACTTGTTCCTCCTTTTTTACTGGATAATGTTGGCAAACATACTGCAACACTGACGAAACTATATTTTGTGAAGAACGTCTATCAGCCCTTAATACACATAGAAGACGAAATTGCTCGAGTGGATATATATAACTTTATGTGTAAACTATTATTATAGAACAGAACATTCAAGTACCATTAAGAAAACATGTCTTAAAGAATGACATAATAATGCATTCTAGGAACACAAGTTATGTAAAAGATAATAAGTGAAGTAGAAAAACTTTCTGCAAAACCAGTAGTGTAGGTTTTTATGCATGAATCTCTGAAGCGATTTTATCGAATTTTTAATTTAATTCGATAAGACTAAAAGGGACGATTCTGAGCTTAGTTTTCTTTTTCAAGGCAATGTTTTCCATTTTGAATTGTGGAGTCAGCAGATAATCGATTACAAAATAAAACGATTCCAGTATCAAGACTGCGTATAACTTAATCAGTATATGCGGTTGGAAAACTTAATACACCGACCGTGCTGAGTATAAAAATATGTAAATAGATAGATGTTTGTAAAAAATTGTTGCAATCCCAACAACTTCACTGAAGATAATACAGCGCCCCCAGAGTTTTTTGCAGCAACTAAATACAAATATTCGTTTAACTAGAAAACAAAAAATAGTTAAAGTATGCAAAAAGAAAAGAAGAACAATAAAAGTCAATTTATTACCATGAAAAAAAAATAACGTGAATCACTCATTTACAACAAAGACTGCTGAGTAATCGTTTTGCATCTATGTACGTATGCGCTTCTATTAAATATACAGTGAATACTAATAGAGCAAAAAATACATATATATTAGTTTAATTAATTGAACATTAGTTGAAATGCAATTGAAAATCATAATTTTACATTGACAACAACAACACTGAATTATAATTAATTTATTTAAAGTATGGAATTTGTAATTCTGCTTTACATAATAATGGCTTGTGATCTTATTTGAAATTTTGAACAAGTTGACCGAAGGGATATGTAGAGGAATATTTCATCTGCTACAATACAGAACAAGTGAGTTCATTATATTTGCCTGGGACTGACTATAGCTATTATGGCCATCATCCATTTGATATTGATTAGATAATGTCTGAAAGGTTCCGCTTTGGGTGATGCAAACCTTTTGCCAAAAGAATGAAATTTTAATGCTTTACAATATTAAGTAGGCGTAGGCGATTTTCTTCATTTTCGTATAAGTCCCAACTATTGATCGTTGTATCTGCTGTGGTTTAAAAGTGACGAGCAAAAAAGCAAATTTTTTTTTATTTTTGAAAACAGATTTTATCTTAAATTAGATTGCACTTTGATCGTGTCCATCGAACGATTTCGCTCAAATCCAATACAAGTCTATATGTAAGAATTAACATTAATTTAAACGGAAAAATGTTCACCACAGACAAACGAACCGACGGACATTCTTTAACCGATTTAAAATTTGATGCTGCTCAAGAAGAATATATTCAGTTTATGGGATCTCTGGAGACCTCCAGTTTTGAAAATTTTTTCAATACATTTAGAGTCTAGATACTCTACATATCTGAAATGAATATCAAATTTTTAGCACAGGTTACTATTTCAAATTTGTCATTATGCTAATTTTATTGTTGTATATATATATATATATATACACAATATGTATTAAATTTTATTAAAATCGCTAACGGAAATTTTTATCTAATTCAAGATGACGGCAAAGTTAAGGTTAATCAATCTTATCTGCTTAGACAAGTACCATGAATGAGATTTAAAACATAGTTTGAACAGAAATATTGTAGTGCGTAGTTGGCTAGTAGTTAAAGACTAGATTTGATTTCATTGAAGGCGTAGCTTACATCAATAGTAGGCTTTTTAGTTTAGATCTTTTCGAATGTAAAATAAAACCCATTGTGATTTTTTTTTTAATAAGCGTAGACATTTATTTTATTATTTAATAATAGATCATTAAATTTATATATTCCAAAAAATTGGCGAATTTTCATTTGCATTTTTTTTTTTTTGTTTTTTTTTATTATAAAACTAAAAAGTATATATTTAATAAAAATTATTATGCAGCAAACTCGAATATGATAAATTCCCTCTCCACACAAAAAAGCTTGTAACAATTTAAGTGTTTTTTTTTTTTTTAGTACATTCATTTATATAATATTTCATTTAAATGAGATTTCTCAACAATCTCAAATTAACAAATTATGGTGTACATTTTATATGTATGTGTAAGAGCTTTATATGCATATATATGCACATATATATACATATATATATATATATATCAAAGGAATCTCTGTAAGATAAACCAACTAAAAGTGAGTGTTGAATGTAAGTTTCGACGATAATTATAAGTTGTGTGTGTAATATATTTAAATTTTTACGTTTTCTATTATTTATCTGCTTTATTTGTTTTATCGTTTGGAAATCTTCAAGTGCAAAATGAAATTTTTGAGAGTACTAAAAGCCATTAATTTAATTTAAATTTAATTTGATTATATGACTGTTCATTCAATCAAAGTAGTCGCTGGTGTCTTCCTCAGTCGTCCCATTTTCATCATTTTCTCCAGGCTGCATATGTTCAGCGATACGAAAATTTTGCAGAAAATCACGCATAGCTTCAACAATATTGGTCAATGATTGCGTTATCTCCCGATAAGAAGCACCAGCTTCGGTACCTTCAGCAGCACCTTAATAAAAATTACAATAATTAAGATAGAATAAAAAGTACATTCGCCTTCAAACGCGTCTTAAGTAATCAATTATAAATGGCGACGTGCCAAAGGGCCGTTCGGGATTATTTCATGTCATCTTTTATATATTACCCACAAGTTCCCAGCATTTAAAATTTCATAATATTTTATATTTTAAAATATTGTGAGAGTGCATCCATATTGAGTTTTGCTCGGATTTGGTTTAAGTCTACGTGAATTTTTTTTACACAAATTTGTTAATTATAAATGGATATCGCTCCCGCTGTGCCATTAAGACTATACGTTGTGTGTGGATAATATAGATAGTTTTGAGGCGAAAAGAAGAATTAAGGGACGATCATGACAAGTAGTGATCACAAAAGAGATCATGCGGTTGCCGTCATACGATATTGCAATTAGGCCCTTACCTTCAACAGCGGCATGCTCTAAATTCATATTAAGTGCCTGGAGATGGCGGTCAACTTCAGCAAATTCATCTTCCACTGCTACCGCCGCTCCCACTGCACCTACCCGTCCAGCTGCCTGCTCTACGACGTCAGCAGCAGCGTTTTGTTGTTGCTGGGGCGGCGTATTAGCCAAGTTGAAAGATGGCAATAGCGATTGAAAGAACATGGAAACGGAACGATTTGTAGCTGTAGTCGGACTACTAGATGAAGATTTTCTATAGAATAATTCCTTAAAATCAATTTATTTTACAACATTAACTTTAAAGATTCAAATACCTCTCATAGAAATTGACAGAGTCTAAGGGTGGCAATGGATCATATGTCATAATTGCCTCCTTTTCTTTGGCAACAAAAGGCGCCAAAGGTACTTTTTCTTTAAAGTCAGACAATACAACATGCCTAAGTATAGGTCGCGGTGGGTGAACATAACGGGTAACCCTTTTTTGACAATACTCACGAATGACCTCATCTTTAGCTTCAATGCGATCAAGGGCATTATTTACATTACGTTCCAGCCAATGAAGTATATTATTTTGACGCCATACTATTTTAGCTCGACATATGTAAAGGCAAACCAATTGATGCAAAGCAGGAGGTTGGCTAGAAAAATATTATAGAAATTATCTATCGTTGTCTCTTTTATTGTCCTTTGATACCTACTTGCCCGATACGTCTGAATTGAAGTACGGATTTGTTACTACTCGTTGATCGGTCTGCACGGAGAGTTCATCCAATAAAGGACGCAAAACGCCAGGAAACATCAGCAAAGCGTATTGTAAAGCCTCATCAGCACTTTCACTCTCTACATATGTAAAAAAAAAAAAAAAATTGAAATATTTCAAAATTTTATTAACAAATGTCATCTATTACCGCCTTGTTGACAGAACAAAGACAAGGCGTAGGAGTACGCCATGTTTGGTAGCTGGGATAGATTACGTGCAGCATCATACTTCTCATAGAAATTAATAAGCCAATTATATTGCTTGCTGCGTAAAGCATAATAATCTATAATCAAAATCATGGCTAAAGGGTCCACATCTGGGTTAAGGCTTAAGATTAGTTTGGAAATTTCAAAAGCAGTGCGACAACAAGCGCGCGCCTCAAGATATTGAGCATGTTTAAACAAAACCACAAAGAATGCGCGATTTTCTTGACGTCTGTAGTCTAGACGACAATTGCCGCTAGTGAGACTGAAGCTGGGATGCAAAGAAGATTCTAGCAACCAAACAGCTCTTTCAATAAGCTCTGCAGCTAATGAAAAATCCTCAGTCATTTTACCTGAAATTACGAATCATTTAACATTTTCCGGTTTCGAGAATCGTCAAAACACACTTACATAATTCGCTTAATTGTATCAAAGAGTCTACATGATAGGGGCATCGTCTGATTAAATTGATTTGAAAATCAGAATCCGTGCGCTCCAAAGCCGACAAAAATAAGTTTTGTACACTTTGATAATATTGACTATGTTCAAAAGCAAACCAATGGGCTTTGTCGCCTTCACCAATAATACTTGATTGGCTGGTAGTGGCATGTTCCGGTGCTTGCGTGGGTTTCATAGCTACTATGTTTTTAATAATTGGCGGCCAAGATTCTTTAGCGGTTACCATATAAGTTGATTTTAAAGTCAATTTTTGACGACCGCGTTTATTTCTAATGATTAAAGACTTTTAGCACCTTTTTTGTCTTTGGTTAATTTAAAAAAAAATCCTTACTCTATTTTTACTACCCTTTTGCCAAATGTACGTCGCATTTCATTTTGTGGGTTGAGATTTTTTAATTCTACAGACAATAATGATTTATCTATAGCAATCCGTGAAGTATTTAATTTTGGATTCTGGATAGTTGCATCACACACTTTATTAAGCAAAGGATCCATTTCATTAATATATTTATCAGTGAACTGAAACGTTAAGAAAATTATTAATTTTACGAATCCCGCCGAATGCTCCACAATTTTACCTCATTGTCTTCACTACTTATATGATTTCCGCTATGTTTAGCCTTCTTCCTGCGCTTCTTTTTTTTCTTTTTAGAAGTCACCATTCCATCGGGCAAACTGGCAGCCGCGGAAGCATGCTCCGTTTCGTTGTCATCCTCTTTGACCTCACTTTCCGATAAACTTTGCTGATTTAACTTATGATGTTGTTTGTGTAATAATGTGAAAGAAAAAAAATAACGGCAAACATATGCTGATAATTAACCTACTTATTGGAAATTTGTATGTACACCATGAATATATATATATATATTAAAGGGTACATAACATCCTGTCTGTTTGACTTACCAAATCAAAAAAGTTTTTATTTTTTCCTTTGCCTCTGGTATCTGGTTCTTCTTCCTCTTCGCTTGCTTGGCCATCATCCTCATTATTTGGCTGAAATTCCAAATCGTCACCTTGTAATTTTTTCAGAACTCTGGACGACATTCTGACCGTTCACACGAATTTATCTTTATTTTATATTAGAATTTCATAAATTTTTTTCTACTAAGACTTTTGCTAATTACAGGGTTTCCCACTAAACCATTAGCAAACGACAATACAGTCTACACAGAGATGTCAGCTTTTAAAACCAAAAACGGAATAACACCTTTTACATAAATACACGATCTCAAATGAAGGCATCAATTAAAATATCGCGTCTAAATTACACTGAAAAAACTACATTGTTCTAGTTAATTAATTAATATCAGATTTTTGTCGTAGATAAATTAAAGTGGAATTTTCCACTTTACTTATCTCAGTGAAATGAAATTAAAAGCGAAAAAAGAAGAGAAATGCACTTAACACAGGAAAATTTAATAAAAAATTAGTGTATAAGTATATAACAATATATATACACATTCCTTTTTGTTTTTGGCTACTATATTACCATTGTATGTACCATTGTAGACCAATGTAAACTGAGAACACATCTGTTCTCAAGAGCAAAAAAAAAAACATGTATATTGCCTATATTTCTTAAGCTAAAACTGATAATATGAAACTAAAATCTGTCTTATATCCCAAAGGCGAATTTTCAATTTCTATAGCAAAATGGAAGATATCGATTACATTCACCCATTTATCGTATAAAAATGTCGTTTTTCGTTTAAATTTTTTCATACGATAAAGATGGCGGGCATAACCTAAGAATTCGTCATTTAATTAATAACAATCGGTTGTGAATGTGCATGAAGAAAAACAATAAATATTTGCTTTGTTATAAAATTTTAACAGAGAATTTCGAATACTTACTTAATAAAATAACAGCAAAGGATGCAAAACGAATAGTTTAGCTTAGATTGTTACAAATTTGTTCAGATATATCATATATACATCTATATATACATCTGTTCCATTCAATTGTTCCGTTTCTGTTTAGTTTGAGTTTAAAATCTCTTTCCACTTGTGTTCCAAACCGCTTATTGATATTTGTATATCGATGATAAATGAAAACGGATTTATGCTATTGCCAACGTTACACAACTCAAAGCTTTTTCATCTTTAATTTTGGCGCTTAGACGATTTGCTATAATTTCTCTGGTGAAAAATTGGGAAAAAGAGTGATTAAAGTTAAAGTTCATTTCCACTCAGCAACTCAAAAAGAAAAAAGTTTAAAATATATATATATATATATATTATAAATAAATTGAATATTGAAGAATTATATTATTTTTAATTGAATCAGTTCATTAGTCTAAAAGTAAAATAATAATAATAATAATAATTGAATTTGAATCATACTGAGCACAGTTGTAAGCGCTTAAAAGCATAATTTTAATTTTTCTAACAGTGGTTGTGACACGTTTTTGCAACCCTGCTCTGCACGCTGTTTCTGCATTTCTCATTTTCACTGTTGTTCTTGTTCTTTGGCTTTCTGTTCACGAAAGAAGCATTTATTTAATTTTACGCTAAATTTGTCTGCTGCGGAGTTATTTCTTGGTCACACGGGTGTGATTAAAAGAATTTCATATTATTTACTGCATTTCAAACCAAATATTTACGACTTAAAGGCAAATTTAATATTTTTTTCTTTTTGAAAATTGAAGAAAACACGCAAAGGCATTGTGAGCAATATTGTTCAGTCAAAAGGACATCATGTCAAATATAGTACTGGACAAGGAGAATTTTTTACGAAGAATAAAACGCCTTTATGACGAATGGAAGGTAAATAAAGTCGAAGCTTGACATGATTAACAATAATAATTTTAATGTTTTTCCGACAAGATGCTTTTATGCCATTAGTTTCTCCTGGCTGGCTCTTAGCTATAATTTAGATAAGATAGGCTTAACATATAATGGTTTACGTATTTTAACTTTGTATACGAATTTTTAAGCCGCTCTGATTTGCAGAGAGTACGGCATGCTGTAAAATGCAATTAGAAGATTTTATTGTCTGTTCTGACAGTTAATACTTCTCAATTCATTAATATTTACTTGATAGGAAGGTACCATAGCGCATGATGATTCATTAAAGAAAGTAGATTGTATTATGTCAGCAGTGGGCGCCGATGAGGATGTCGTCTATTCCAAATCGACTGCTTTACAGAGTTGGCTATTGGGTTACGAACTTACCGACACAATTTCCGTATTTTCGCAAGATGGCATTTACTTCCTAACCAGTAAAAAGAAAATTGAATTTCTTAAACAAGTTCAAAATTCAAAATCGGATGGTGTGCCCGAAATAAAACTGCTAGTGCGTGATCGTGTAAGTATTGATTATTCAGTATACATTTTAACATTGAAAGCAATCCAATTGATGTTTTCAGAACGATAAAGATGTTGCCAATTTTGAGAAACTTGTCAACATTATGAAATCTTCTAAAGGCGGCAAAGTGTTAGGTGTATTTGCAAAAGACGGTTTTCCTGGTGAATTCTGCAAAAGTTGGAAAAATGTCCTGAAAACAGCGGCTTTTGAGCAAGTTGACATAAGTGGAGCGGTTGCTTACTTAATGTGCCCGAAGGACGAATCAGAAATAAATAACATTAGAAAAGCATCACTGGTGTCGGTGGACTTGTTCAATAAATATTTAAAAGACCAAATTATGGAAATAATAGATTCAGATAAGGTTAGTTTTCTCTAAAACTTAACGTTAAAATTTGATTCAAAAATATTATCTATATTTTAAATGTTACTTTAGAAAGTCAAACATTTGAAACTTTCGGAAGGTGTGGAGGCTGCTTTATCCGACAAGAAATACGTGTCCGGTGTAGATAGTTCACTTCTTGAAATGTGTTATCCAGCTATTATACAATCGGGTGGAAATTATTCGTTAAAGTTCTCTGCCATGAATGATAAAAACATTTTACATTTTGGCGCCATTGTTTGCTCTCTAGGCACCCGCTATAGATCTTATTGCTCGAATATTTCGCGCACTTTCCTAGTTAATCCCACCGATGAAATGCAAGATAATTACAATTTTCTAGTTAACGTGCAAGAGGAAATTTTGAAAATGTTAAAACCAGGAAGCAAACTTAGCGAAATCTATGATCATACCTTGGAGTACGTAAAAAAGGAGAAACCAAAATTGCTTGATAACCTAACGAAAAACTTCGGCTTTGCTCTTGGCATTGAATTTCGTGAGAATAGCATTATTATAGGCCCGAAATGTCAGGCTGAAGTCAAAAAGAATATGGTTTTCAACGTGACTGTGGGCATAGCGAATCTTACTAATCCAGATGCATCAGAAAAAGAGGGTAAAATTTACGCCCTTTTAGTGGGTGATACGGTATTGGTAGGTGATCAATCGCCAGCTAGCATTATGACACCGTCGAAAAAGAAAATAAAAAATGTCGGAATATTTATCACAGATAGTGAAGAAGATGATGACGGCGACGAAAAGGCAAAGCCTAAAGAAGATAAAGGTTCCGAGATTCTAGGACGCAGTAAACGCAATGCGGTGCTAGAAAATAAATTACGTACCGAAACGAATACGGAGGACAAACGCAAACAACATCAAAAGGAACTTGCACGAATATTAAATGAAAAAGCGCGTGAACGTTTGTCTAAACAGGGAGACGCTAAGGAAGTCGAGAAAGTACGTAAAAACACAGCTTCATACAAATCCATCAGCCAAATGCCAAGAGAACCGGAAGTTAAAGAACTGAAATTATATGTAGACAAGAAATATGAAACGGTTATAATGCCTATATTTGGCATACCTGTTCCCTTTCACATATCTACAATTAAAAATATCTCACAATCCGTGGAGGGTGAGTACACCTATTTGCGCATCAATTTCTTCCATCCAGGTGCCAGTATGGGTCGTAATGAAGGCGGTTCGTTTCCTCATCCAGAAGCTACATTTGTAAAGGAAGTGTAAGTTCTCATCAAAAAAAAAAAAAAAAGCGGTGATTAAGTAAATGAGTTCGTTTTTAATTCCTTTCCAGAACCTACCGGAGCTCAAATGTTAAAGAGCACGGCGAAACATCTGCTCCGTGTTCTAATCTTAACAATGCTTTTCGCCTTATTAAAGAAGTTCAGAAACGTTTTAAAACGCGCGAAGCTGAAGAACGCGAAAAGGAAGATCTCGTTAAACAGGATACCTTAATATTATCACAAAACAAGGGTAATCCTAAACTAAAAGATTTATACATACGCCCCAATATTGTAACGAAACGAATGACTGGTAGCTTAGAGGCTCACACTAATGGTTTTCGTTACATATCTGTGCGTGGTGATAAAGTGGATATATTGTACAATAATATTAAAAGCGCCTTCTTTCAACCGTGTGATGGTGAAATGATTATTTTGTTACACTTTCACCTCAAACATGCAATTATGTTTGGCAAAAAGAAACACGTTGATGTTCAGTTTTATACGGAGGTTGGAGAGATCACAACGGATTTAGGTAAACATCAGCATATGCATGAACGTGATGATTTAGCCGCCGAACAAGCGGAACGTGAATTGCGCCACAAACTGAAGACTGCTTTTAAAAGTTTCTGCGAGAAGGTGGAAGCGATGACCAAACAACAAGTAGAATTTGATACACCATTCCGTGAGTTAGGTTTTCCTGGAGCACCATTCCGTAGTACGGTTACCCTACAACCCACCTCTGGCAGTTTGGTAAATCTTACCGAATGGCCGCCATTTGTTATAACATTGGATGATGTAGAGTTGGTGCATTTCGAACGTGTTCAATTCCATTTACGTAACTTTGATATGGTTTTTGTGTTTAAGGATTACAATAAAAAGGTAGCTATGGTTAATGCAATACCTATGAATTTATTGGATCACGTTAAGGAGTGGCTGAAGTAAGTATAAATTTTATTTAAAAAAAAAAAAAAGAACAGTTTCTAATTGAAAACTTTGTTCAGTTCTTGCGATATACGTTATACAGAAGGCATACAGTCCTTGAATTGGGCAAAAATAATGAAAACCATTATTGATGATCCGGAAGGCTTTTTCGAACAAGGCGGCTGGTCTTTCTTGGATCCAGAATCTGGTAGTGAGGAAGAAGACGAATCGGCAGAGTCCGAAGACGATGAAGCATACGAACCAACAGATATTGAATCCGATATAGAATCAGACGAAGATGATTCCGAATATTCTGAAGCGTCTGAAGATGAAAGTGATGAGGAGAGTGATGGTATGTTGATTGCATATTAAAATTTATCGTTAAGGATTTTTCTGTTGACAAACGAGAAACGGTAAATTTTTATTGATGAAGAGAAGTCGTTCTCACTTATACATAAAGCAGAAAAATAAATTAGAGCTAAGATATATATTGAAATGAACCGATTCGGATATTTATAATATCTATATGCATATTGTAGAACTTGGCTCGGACGAAGAATCTGGCAAGGATTGGTCTGATTTAGAGCGTGAGGCAGCCGAAGAAGATCGCAATCACGATTACAACGCTGAAAATAAACAAAATGGCAAACATCAAGCGAAACATTCGAAAAGTTCAAAGCATAGGTATGTAAAAATTTTATAAATCCCGTTATTTATTGTATCGAATAACATATTCTTTTCCATGTATCACGTCTTTATTATATTCCCCACAAAAAATATATGAGACTTGTTAAATGATTGTAACGTAAAACAAACGAGTAGGATATCCCTATATATCCATATACAGCCTAAACATGTCTATCGGTCTTCCTTGATGCTTATCAAAATTTAAATTATGATTTAACTTTTAGTTTTTCCTCCTCTTCCTCGTCCGGTCGATCTATAAATTTACACATAATTACTACTTACCTATTCCTAAATGATATTTTTGGTGTGCGTAATAATAGCTTTATTACGTAAGTCTGCTGTTTCTCGACTGCGTTATGTCAATGGTGTGATAATTTAAACGCGAGCATTTCTAATAATTTGAGTATGTGATATTCAGAAGATTGAGTTGACATATGTCGCCATAGTTCTCTGTAAGCTACGCTGCCATATATTGTCATTCATGCGTTTACCACTTACCAAGGAATCATATGTGCATATATGAAAAAAAAAAAAAAAAAGAAAACGAGTGGTGGATATTAAAAGGTTCGGTTTAAATCGAATGTAATTTCTTTTTTGTTTGTGCTTCCTATTTATGTTTTGCTTTATGTTTGAAATCCACTCAAAATTCATTTAATAATTTTTTTTCAATAAATTGAAGAATTGAATGTGTCTATATATTTCTTATTTGGTTGTTATCCGCTACAGTCGTAGAGATCGAGCGGTACAAGAACAAAATCGAAAGAAACATCAAAAATCTTCTCATACATTGAATTCCGCCAGCACTTCAGCGTTAATGAAGTCGTCAAAACATACAAATTCCACTACCAATTCAACGCATAGGTTGGTTTGTACTGTTGTTTTGTATGTTTCTTTTTTTCTTTCTACTTTCTCGTGTTATATCACCATCAAAGAATTAAAAATATTATATTTATAATTCCCTTTTAAAAAAAAAAAAATGAAAAAAAAAATATCCTTCTCATCTTTTAGTAGCTCGATGAAATCGTCTCATAGGGATAAACATAGCGATCGTAGCCGTGACAAGCACAACTCCTCTTCATCGCACAAGGATAAAGGCAAGGATCGCAGCCACGACAAGGGTCGCCATCATAGCAGCAGCGGCCATAAACGTTCACGAGACGACAGTCGAGATAATGATCGCCACAAATCAAAAAAATCACGACATTAATTATAAAATACAGAATACAACCAACCCAACCATCATCTATGCATCCATACATAAATACATAACACATAAATAATTGCATATTCCTTTTTTAATATTATAATTTTCTTTTTCTTTTTTTATATATGTTTAACTCCTGTCATTCGTCTTATGATAACATAAAACTTCCATTACCTTAACTTTAGGGATATCCATCAGACTTTAGACAGTTATTAGCCTTATAAGCGTGTATTTATTGGAAAGCAAAAGAAACGGCTTTCAAATTGTAAGATTTCCCTAATTATTTTCATGTTAACTTTCTCTGTTCAATCGTCAAGCACTCTCGACTTATTATTGAAAAAAAATATCTGCAAATTAAAAAAATAAATGAAAAGGGAATGGATAAATACATTAACATTTTTTAAAACTATGAAATAAATATGCTTTATACATGAAAATTAAGAATAAACACGGAATAAGTTGAAATCATGAAAACTTACCTAGTGGTGAGACGTTTTTTTTTTTCTCTTCATATCTCGTGCGTGAAAGGTTATTCGTGCAACAAATCGTCTTATATATAGATATACATACGCATTCGAGTGCACTCGAACGGTAACTGTCAAATGAAATAATACATTATTAATTATGCTTATGCGATCAGCAGCAGATCGATCAACAACGTTTTCATTCAAAAAACAACAGCACGCAGCAATGGACCATTGCCTACCATTAATTACCCCTACACTGCGCTATAGTTATTCATATAATGACTTCTCAAGCTAAGGCGTTATATGAATCTATCTCAACGATTTCTGGGTATTGCATATATCATAGTGGGTGTCATTAGCAATTTTCTATTATGCCTTCAAAAACGCTTTCTCGAAGTTATTAAGTAACTCTTGTTCGCAAAAGTAGGCGAGCAGGTGAGATAGAGTTTACTTTGGTCGCAGCTGTAGTGAGTACACACCGATTGGATACACAGATCCAACTGCGGCCACTTCCCTATATCATTTCCTTTCTTCACTTCTTCTCTCCGGTCATGAATAGGATGCATCCCCGGAGTCACTGATCATTAAAAAAAAAAAAAAAAAACTTGAATGTGTGCTACTTACCCAATCATCTTGGTTAGGGCTTTGAATAAACGCTTGATAAATTGGTCGCTTGGATAAATCGCACATAACGCGCATATATCGCTATGCACACATCCGCAGAAACTTAAGAGTAATAATTGCTGATGAAATTAAATAGAATTTTTCGTATTGTAGTTCGGTCGTCGTGAACGTTGAAATAAATAAATATTCGATCCAAAGTCCGTAATATTCATTTAGTATGCAATTTTTTGATCGGTTTTTGTTGAGATATAATAAAAATTTCTAATACAGGGCGGTCCATTTCCAGCGGTTATAAAAATGGGCAAATTCACTACGATTCATATTTTGCCCTGAAATCTTTCGGTTTTTTTTTTTTTTTTTTTAATGTGACCAACAACTTTTCTTGTCCACTTTCGTTATCATGAATTAATTTGAAAAGTCATTGTATGAATGAGGTCGTAACCCACTGTAATGTTTTAATGATTTTTCTTGTTTTTGCTTTCACACCCATCACCGAAGGATGAGAGGTGTATTCATTTTCTCATAATGTTGTTACAACATCCCAAAAAAAAAAAAAAAATTTCAGAGCTCCTATAAATTATCTATATTTTCGATCGGCACGAAAGTCTTTATTCTGAAATTGATGAAGCCATGTCTGTCTATCTGCGCGCCTGTGTGTGGTGTATGTTGCTGGCAATCTCTTGGTTTGCAAAAATGAAGATATCGACTTCATATTTGGTAGAAACATTGGCAATTGTGTGTGTACGCTGATTGGCATTGAAAATGGGCCAAGTTGATCGGTAGCACACGGTAACAGTAAAGCGTACACTGAACGTAATTCTGTTCGGGGGTTTTTGCTCATTACTCACAAATTGTGTTAGACAGAAGGCTGAAATTTTCCACATTCACTTTGTGCACAACCATACTAATTATGTGCAAAGAATGTCGGCCATGCCCACACTAAATTTTAAACGATTAAATTTTCTTCCGTTTTATTTATTTATTTATTTTTTTTGATGTTTTATGCTGTGACTGACTAATCGTGAGGTAAGCAAGACGGCATTTTTAAAATTATTTTATATATTATTTGTTGCGTAGTAAAATATAAGTTGGGTGGACATCATGACTTGATGGATTAATTTTTTTTTTAACAATACCATCAATATGGGTATGGGTATCAAATAAAGGGACTTGAAGAGCAGAAAGCGATAAGCTAAGGATGTTCTTAATTCTTAATTAATTGTGATGGGCGTGTTGTGGAGTTTTTTTCTCTTAACAATACCAGCGACATGATTATCAAATAAAAGTACTTGAAGCGTACAAAGCGACAATCTAAGCGTGTTCATTCTAAATTTATTGTGGTAGACGTTACGATATGCTGGATAAATTTAGTGAATAAAAAAGGTGTAAAATAAATTTTATTTAATTCACTTTTTTTGTAATCATATATGAAAGCATGGGTGATGGATATTCGAGATTCGATCTCACTTAAACATAACTTTCTTATTTATTTATTTATTTATTTATTTTTTTTTTTTTCTTGGAAAAAGAACAGCATTTTCAAGTTAAAAGAAGCAAAAATTTTACATTATTAATAGCGATAAGAGAAGTCCTAATTAACCCTTACGGGATACCGAGTAAAGTTTTTAAAGTATCTTGTCGAAGCTTTACGTAACAGTATGACTTATCTAACTGAAGTAATTACGAACAAGTTTTTTTTTCGTGAATTTTGAATCAGTCCAACAAAGCGCGCAAGCGCGGATAGGAAGCGTTTTATTCGAAGGAAATTGTTATATCATTTGTCGAATATAACGAAATCATTAGTGCGGGATGTATCAATGGCCCCGTTAAAGTAAATTGTTGTGAAATGATAAATGTATTCCTTTAATCATATATATAATAATTTTCTGTATATAGGTTCTCCTAATTTCATAAATCCATAAACCCGGCGATATGAATATACCTTAAAGAACGTTAGAGAGCTAATAGGTAAAAACAGAGAGACGTTTACTTACCTATATACTCATAGAGCATCGTACCTACCGAGGCGCAATTAACATTTTCTCATTATGGAGGTAAATGCTCGCAAAAAAAAAAAATTGAGATCAGCAATTCTCTCAAGTTCGTATTGGTAAAGGCGAAGTTACCTTGAAAACGATATAATATCGTTGAATGTTTCTTATTTTCGTATAGTCTACAATGTTTGTTTTTTTTGCTGCTCGAGCAAGACTATCGTAGTCTTGGACTCGAAAATTTACTGAGACATATATCGCTTTTACAAATGGTTTTATCGTATGATTAATAATGCACGGGTTCTATTTAATGAAAATTGATTTTATTCAGCTATCGTATTACGTTTACTCATAGGTTGCTGTGTCGTAAGATTCTAGACTAAGCGAATCTAATGCTGGTATCCATCTCCGTCATTCAAATTCAGTTGAGCAATAACCCGCTACTCCTGCTTCTATCTTTCAAAAAATTTAAGTTAAATTCGCCTTATGATGAACTTTTGATGAAATATTTTATTAAGTGTAGCGGTCTATGAACTCATCCTACCATGCTTTAAATTACCATCTTCTATACGCTGGATTTTCATAGCTTTTGCTTATCGCAAGCATGTATCGTAGGCGTAGCAAACCGTGCTGCTCTTCTGTCGAAATTTTGCATAGTCTTCTAAAAGTTTGGTACGCAATTCGAGAATAATATCTCGTATGAATTGGAAATAATCGTTTGTCACTTGCATTTTGTGAACGCGGTTAAGTGCTAATCTAATTTTATCCACGATCATTGATTAACCGTATTTCCGCATTTTATTAGGCATTTGCAGACACTTTTTTACTTGAAAAAAAAAAAAAATATATATATATATATATTAGTCAATATAGTTTCAATTATTTTCTGGAATATTATCGGCAACATGGCATGATATAAAGTCGAAAGAACTTATGGCAGCGATTCACCCACCGACCCATTTCCGCACTTCTTCACGCAATTTGGGGCCTCGCATGCCAGCCATGCTATGTTGCACCGCTCAGAAGAAGTGGTCATCAGGGAGCGCCATATCTGGTGGTGTCGCAGAACTTTCCATCCGAGCTGCAATAGTTTATCTCGGACAACTCTTGCAACAAGTAGCCGAAATATGTTAGTTTCACTCAATTCCTGTGGCCACTTCTACACCCTTGAAACCAAAAACGATAATTGGGATTGATGGAGCAGCGTCGCCGTAATCCTCTGAACCTGTTTGGTGAGCTTCGGCAGCAGATTTCTTCTAATAAACAGTAAAAGTTATGTATTTGGAAGAAGAAGAAGAATTTAGTGAGCTCGACGGTTAGTATCGGCGTATGTTGAACGGAAAACTCTTATTTTACGTAGAGGAAGATCAAAACCATCGTTATGTACACTGGTATTTCCCACTTCCATATCATTTTTACCTGTACAAGTAGCTGATTAAAATTTTTGCAAATACCTAATATTAAGAAGAAATTAAAAGAAAGAAAACAAAAAAAACTGTATATACATATATGTTACAAAAAGTATTTATTAAATTTTTATTTATTCTTATTTTTGTGGAATTTTTCCGTGCTTACGTGTGCGTGTGTGTGTGTGTGTGCTTGTTTGTTTGTTTTTAGTAAAAAGATATCATTAAATAAATTCTACTTTAATGCTGGTTTCAGTTTTCATTAATTTTCGAGCCGCTGGCACTATGACGCTTCCTTATGAGTTTATGTTGATTTATTAGCGATCCATTCGCGTTAATTTCATCATTGCCATTAACATTGTTAATCTTTTTGATGCCGCCAAATGGACGCTTAACATCGAACATATTTCGCGTTCTATTGATGGGGAAACGCATCTTATTTTTCAGCCATTTTACGAATGCTCGCTCATTCTCATGCATTTTGCGAACTTCCGCTTCAGTGGTTTTTAATGTTTGCTGCAAGAGCGAACGATGTTTATGTTGCAATTTACGCTCACGTTCTATTAGCTGCTCACGTGACAAACCGTATTCGGAGAGATAGCCGGTGTACTTAGGTAATCTCTGCTGAGTGTGTTTATATTCGCAGCATACTTTATAATGGAGTTTTAAGTCAGTGACTTCGGGTGGCGGTTTAATATGCTTACTTGATTTGTGCTTCGACGTACGAATTGGAGAAGTGTTCGTTGTACGCCGAAACGGGAAATGTCTACCAAATGATAATTTATTTTGCCCATTATTATGGGTTTGCTGTAAAGAACACTCAGTTGTGGTCAATGAAGTCTGATCACAATTGTTATAGCTATCAGGTATATAAGAAGCTACAATTATAGAAAGTTGATCGTCATCGTCATCGTTCTCATCGTTCTCGTCGTTATTATCGTTAATATTTTGCATAAAAAATTTCTCTGAACTGTTATTAGTTTGAGGATTCGGTTTTACAAATTCATCATCTTCGCTTTCCTCCTCGCAAACTGACTCATTACAATTATAATCGTCATTATCATTATTATCTACATTGTCTCTATCGTCGATATCGTTCGATATTAAAAGATTCGTTAGACTTTCGTTATCGAATTCGTTGTCATCGCAATCGAAAGTGATTTGTTTTAAAATCTTCTTTTGAAATGACGACGAACTTTTGGGTCGTGGTGTAGTTTCGCTTTGCTCCGAGTTGTTATCGTTTTCTATATCCATGACAATGATTTCTTCACAAATTTCATCAACTATAACATCCTCAGGGGATTTTTTTAATTCTTTAGTAGTCTCATCGAAAATCTCGATAAGATTTTCGGTTAATTCGACAGATTGAGTTATGCTATCTATCGTTGGAATTGATTCGTCTGTCAGTTCTTCTTCTTGGTGAGATTCTTCTACAATAACTTCTAATTTGCTAAGACAATTGTTTTCATTCGATTCCTCGATTAATTTATCTAAAAGTTGCTCCGTACTAATTGTTCCGTCTTGCGGTTCATATTCTTCTAAATTGGCCGCGAAGCTCACCTTACGATTTATGGCCAAATTGTTGATAACATTTTCATTATTCTCTTCGCCATTCGCCAATGCAAGATTCTCATGTGCAAATAGTTCCTTGTTTGCTTCTTTAATTTTCTCCACGATATTGTATTCGTTAACTGGTTTCAAAACTATAATTAATTTCAGAAAGCTATGAATTATTATTATTATTTTTGTTATTTTTTTTATTTTGCTTTGTATACATTTTCTTCAACTTACAATAAATCTCGGAATCATCATCTGATTCACGTTCTGTTTCGTCGATATTTGCCATTACATCTATATTTGGAAATTCTGTTTACACAATCTAACCGCCAAACGTCGCCTCAAATTAAAATGACCTAAAAGTATGCTTCAAATTGTTTCTTTGTTACACATCAATCTATGGAAAGCACAAAGTAAATTTCCTTTCGAATGTAATTCTGTTTTTTTTTTTTTTTTTTTTTTTTTTATATTTGAAAGTTTATCGTGTTACAAATTCATTTGTTTTTAGAAAAACTTTTTCTTATTACTTCACGAACTATTCCAATCAATATTTATATAGTTATTAAGAATTGTTTTTCGCCAGCACAGGCGACACAGGATGAAACTAAAGCTAAGCTACGTTTGTTTATTTGATAAACACGTATGCGTGTGTGTGTGTGTGTGTGTGTGTGGGTGTAAATGCAAATGCAAATATTTACTCGAAAATTTTGTCGTTTTGAAAATGAATGTAAGAGTATTTAAGAAATAACATAACCGTACTGAAAACATCTTGAATGGCATTATGTCTTGCATAGCCTCACTGTCTGCTCTCTAAGGCAACCGTGATACGGTTAATGTTTGATCGATGTCATCTAAATAAATTCACTGAAACTTTATTATATCTCCGTAGGTGAAAATGCACATGTACACGAAATAAATATTGCATACATATTTATATACATATTTATTTACTTACATATATAGATATATATATAGATATATATATATATATATATATAAATATAAGTTTGTTACTCCGTTTACAATATCCGCATCAATGTATTAAAAGCTATTACTCTTAAATATACTGATTTTCGATCAGGCCGATCTGGGCCTTTTCTTTCGTTTTATTGTCTCTTTTTTTTTTTTTTCATAATGGCTTTGAAGTTTTCTTTAGTTGAAGGTTTTGAAATTTGAAATAAAGGCTGTTTGCTATTCGACGCATATACAGGCAACTATCCTATAACACGAAATCCTATCCTGTCCACGAAAAGAAAATTGCGGCAATCGCCTTATAATGTGATACTTGTACAACAGGATAGCAGTATTTTTGTTGGTCTTTTGAAAGTTTTCATTGGTTATGCAACCTTTTTTTCTATGCAACAAAAGTTTTCTATGTATGCATTGCATGTTAATTGGGGAAATAAATGGAATTTTTTAATTAACATGCATATGTTTGTAGACATTTGCATCTGATCTGGAACGTTATTCCTCATCGCTGTAGTAGCCAAGTTTTCGGTTAACAAACGATTTTGAAATTTTAGAAATTACTTCTACCGTATTATAAAAGAGTTACGTGTACTCTTCTCATATTCAGTTCATAAAAAGTATCCCGTAGATTTTATTAAACAAAAATATATACAAGCTATCGTTACAATTTTCTTCTACAAATTGGTGACACTCTCTTGGGCTATTTCTATGACATTTGAGGAAAATCTGTTACTCGGTGCATTTTTGTTAATAATAATTCTGCGATTCTTGTAATGAGAGCGTTACAAGCAGCATAATCAAGTTTCTCGTTTTCAATTGCCCAGAGATGTCCATCAAAACGTCAGTCATATGAACGATAGGATTAGGGATTAAAAGGCCCCAAGCAATCGAAGAAATTAGTAATGGAGATTTCGATTAAAAAGTCGACACGTTTTTTTCGTCTACTCATCCGTAATCTTCGGAGTAATCTTAGTTATTTTTCCATTTTTCTGATAAGCTATTGCGCCATCATTGCAAAAGTCTTAAGAAGAAAAACGGGACCAAGTGATTTCTTAAAGCATTTTCGAAATCAGCAGTTCTGAAGCGAGTAAAACAAACGGCTGTCTGGTGGCACAAGGGACGTGTCAAGTCTTCCCAGTTAAGCTCTTTTAATTTTTCTTCAGTGTGCCTGGTTTAGCATCCTGTGGATAATGAAATCAGTGGAGCACGTCAAGCTGCATGACATGGGTTTGTCATCATTTCTGCAGCCTTATTCATCTTGAGTCATCATTTTTTTTGCATAGCTCACTTTTCAGTGCCTGCTATTACCAATCTCATCAAAAGAAAAAAGAAAAAAAAAGAAGAAAACATGACATATGGACCCAGAGATGGAATGTACCTTTGAATAAATTCATCGAGATTTTATCCAAAGTCGTAACCAAAGTGATTGTGCAAGCATTGTACTCAATTATTATGACATTTTACAGTTTCCCAAATTTAACTTTTGTTTGAGAGAAAAATGTTGAAAGAATTGTAAAAACTTCAGCAAATTCCTTTTCTTATTTTTATACCCTACGCACCTTTTGGCCCATGGCACATGGCGTCCAGTCGTATGTAACGCTAAGAAGCCCTTAAGATAGATCCACATTTTATTATGCTGATCTGAATCGATGAAACCTCACTAATCCGTCTGTTCGTTCTTTTTGTGTTCAGTCCAAAGGTCGACATTTTAGGGTTTTTTTTTTTTTTTGAATTTTGGCACGTTGAAGTGTTTTGGCCCAAAAACGAATCCTATTGAAAATAGTGATCCGTTCGGATCACTTTTCCGATCATTGCCCCTATGACCCAACCTTTTTCGAATAAGGTTGTTATATGAAAGAAAAACGTCATGTTCAAAATTTCTCGACAAAAGTCACAGGATAATTAGTACTTTGGCATTCTAAATCGATGTAAAAATTTTGAATCGGCGTCCATGTATAATAGTTCCTATGAAAACTGAAACTTCGTATGGCAAACAGGTCTTATTTTTAATACTTTGTGACGAAAGTTGATCTATAATAATAACTTGACATAAAAATAGCTGTGGCAAATCTGGACTACGTCGATCTATTTTTTTTTGTTGAGACACTCCGCCACTCTTGTGTAACGGGACAACTCATTATATTAATATAGTCGAAAGGTTAGAGAAACGCACGTGTCATTGCAAAACTGGTTAATTCGGCTGTAATGGGACGGAAGACTCCGAAAACGGGTACACTCAAGAAATACAGGCACGGAGACAGGCACCTTTGCATAACCGGAGGTTGTGACAGATAAACGCACGTGTCATTGCAAAACTAGTAAGTTCCGCAGCAAAGGGATGGTTTCACTGTTCTTCCAACAAACACCCAAGAAATACAGGCGCAGAGATCCTTATGAGGAGGCAAACGAACGATTGAAGCTTCCTTACCCGATGAACTGAAGTTATTCTACGCCCTGCCTTACCTACGATCTCCTTCGGCCTATAATTTGGTGTGGGTGTGTGCGTGTGTGTGTGTGTGAAAGAAAGTAGTAAGAAACGTCTCTTTCGTTCGCTTCACATGCTACACTCTCTTTTTACACGTGCTCGACCATTATATAGGACTATACTTTATTTGATGCAGATAAGCAATTTATTTTGCTTATATATATATATATATATATATATATATATATGAAAATAAAAGGAATTTAATGACATTTACTATTTTATAGATAAATTAAAGGAAAAGTATTCATGAACGTTGTCGAACGAATGCAAATAACGTCGGAAGAGGTTGAGGTTAGATTTACAAGTATCCGCCTGAGTGGCCGAGTAGGCAAGAGTCTCGACTTTCAACTCAATGGTCGTGGGTTCAAATCTCAAGTGTCGTAGAGTTTTTAATAAAACCGAAAGCCTTAGATGCTAGCGCATTAAGACTTTAGTCTTAGAATTTATTCTTTGGATCTAAATTTATAATAATAATAACAATAATAATAATAATAATAATAAATAGATTTAGAAGCCGATAGAAAATAAACTAAGGAATGTCTGATTGATACCATCAACTAAAGTGATAATTCTTCCCTGTTTCCTGTGCTTTGGCGAGTCTTTTATAAATACATTGCATATGTGGCAAACAGTGAATAGAAATGAAGGCGGTCTTAAAGGGTAGCGGGTGTAGCGAGCATTTGGAGGCAAATATGACAGATCGTTGTTCCGGTTCGTGACTTTGTTAAATGCATCGCGTTTCATCGTAAAGTGAACAAGGCCGGCAGGAAGGCAGGATGGCTGGCTGAGTGGCATCGACGCATCGATAAATTTGAGAAGAAACAAATGATGATTTCAAAATTTATTTAGTGTTTATTTAATTATTATTTTTTTTTTTATAAATTTTTTAAGTGAAATTTAAAAATGATGGAGATCATTTGGCACACAATGAATGAGCTTTTATTTAAATACATGTTTGCATGTTTTATAAATCGAGTCGAATCATTTGAACCTACTTCAACAGCAGCTTCAACACTTGTTGCTTCAAAAATGTATTCATTTTTTCTCCTTGACTCCATTAAATATTAATTATTATTTTTATTTTTTTTGTATTTGTTTTTGTATTTGTATTTGTTTTTTGTTTTTTGTTTTTATTCATGTATTTGTTTTTCAATATATTTTTTGTTAGTTGATTGATATTCAAAAGGTTATTAAACCTTTTTATTGCTCTTTCAGTTTACTTGATTTTTCTTTCTACGCTATGCTTATTATGGTTGTCGATAATTTCATTTGTGTGTTGATTGCTTTTGTTTTCAAGTTGTTTTTTTTTATTTAATTCGTGCAGTTTCGTTTCTTTTTCTTTTGATTATTTTTCTTCATTTGAATTAACTTTAATTATATTTAATAAACACTTTCTTATTTTGTACACTTCGTAATTAAATATTAATTAAGCCTTGAATTGTGTGTTTAAATAATTTAGCAGAGTCTCATATACATATATTGTAACTAGCATTTTATATATATATATATATATTCAGATCTAGAGTTTTGAATGTGTGTCTATTTATATAAAAATGAAAAATTATTTTATTATTTTTTTAAAGCTATTTTTAAAAAATAAAATGTTTAGTTGCTCGCTTTTATAGTTTAACTTTAAGTTTACGTTTTTTTTTGCTTTTTTTTTGTTTTTTTTTTTTTTCTTTGCTTTATTCTCTTTTCTTTCTTTTTCTCTCTTTTAAATGGGATTAAATTTCAAGGGACGGTTTAGTTTTCTAATGTGTTGCAACAATTTATTGAAATTTTTATATTAATTAGAATGTGAGTAACATTGAATACCCACCCACCCACCACTTTAAAAGAAAAATTATGTGAAGGCCTGGGAGGGGAGTGAGACAGAATCAATTCCGATTTTCGATGCTCAACTACATCTGTTCGACTTTCGTAGCTACCGGAGTGTATATTGCATTGCATTTACCCACACTTTCTCGCTGAACAAGACTATATATAATGTCTCATGGGATTTCTTGATGAGAGATGTGAGAAATATTCCTTTAATAGAATTCTTTCAAATAAATAGAGCAATGACAGGATAACATTATTGAAATAAAAAGTGCTGAGAAGAGAGCGAGAGAGAGAGAGAGAGAGAGAGAGAGAGAGAGAGAGAGAGAGAGAGAGAGACAACATGGTAAAAATTGATTGTAGAAACACTCGTTTACCAAATGCAACTTGACTTGCGCTTTGAAAAAAAGTTTGCAAGAACTCCTGCACTGCCGAAGGTGGAAATCAAGATAATTGTAGATAAGTGATTTAGGCGTTCCTTAAATATTTTAAAGATAAAACAAGTAAACATCGGAAGTGTTCGGAATCACGTGTCCAACTCATGACGAATATTTTGCAAAGATAATCATAATTTCGACTATGAACTTGTTTCACTATTCCCGATCTTATCAGCTATTTTCAATGATATATGTTATATATCGTTGTTTTTCTTATTCATAAGCATATACAGAATACTTACGCGACTTTCATATTGATTCGATAAAAACTTTAAAATGTTCATAAAGAAATTTATGTCAACCATCAAAATAGTGAAAGTGAAACGTTCACATCTAACGAAGTACTTAGAGATATTCTTTAATTGGATTTGGAAAGATGGATATAAACGAGTTAGTCCAAATCCATGTAATTTCCTTATCCGTTACATATTGTTTGCAAGGTGGATTTTCACATTTGAGCCGAAAGTTTACTTACTAACGATGAAAAGATCATACTTTATATCTACTTAGCCGGGAAACCTAAAAATTTAATGAATGTAGTTTTACATCTGCCATTGCTGGATGAGAGGTATATTCATTTTGTGAAAACGTTTGCAACACCCATAATTAAACTTCAAAGCCGCCAGCCACAAAGTATCTGCATTCTTGGTCAGCAAATTTTGGGATGTCCGTCTATCTGTTTGCGTAATGTCTGCGATATACCTTCTCCTGGTCGTAAAAATTGGTTTGAAGATTGGAAATTCTTGCACGCAAATTGCTATTGAAATTGAGTGAAATCGGTCAAAGGACATGCGGCAACACAGAACAAAGCAACTTGGGATCATATGCGGTTTCAAAAATTCAAAGAAAATTTCCCTCTCTTCTCTCTCTCTCTGGCTTATAAACTACAACAGATACGACAATAACAATTTGAATGTGAATTCTATGGATGATCCTGCCGCATATGGACAAAAATGGAACAAAATCGGCGACAACTACTCAATAATAGTATTAAGACTTCATTCGTTTGTCGAAGTATTTGCAGCACTCAGAAGAAAGAAGTTTCACAGATCTGATGGCTGAACCATTGCAGATGTGTTTGTCAGTCCGTCTGTAAATGTAGATATCTGCTTAAGACACTTGAAATAAATTTCCTCTTTTATTCAAATCAGCCACGCCCACTCAATGCTATAAAGTATGAATATTTATTTTTTAAATATTTTTTTTTTTCTCTTTTTTTGCGATAACAATATGGAGAGAGAGTTGGTCGCAGTCGGGAACTTACCTATTATTATTATTATTTTTTTTTTTTAATCAAGTTTAGTATCATTGCTTAAGCCTTTTTTGCTACCGAAAATGTTTTGATCGCCCTGCTATGTACTAAATGTCAACTTTCTACCTGCGATTTTTCTGCTTCATGAGGTTTCAACAAGAAAACCACGGAGTTATCGAAATAAACTCAGAATTTTTTTTGGGAATTAAGTAAACAAAGACCCGAGGGCTTTGATGTCATTTTCCATAGATTAGAAATGGAATAATAGCTATAAAAATAATAAGCTATAGTCGAGGAATAGGAAGAGATTGGATTTTTGCGTTTCTGTGGAATACTTAGAAATATGCATTAGAGTTTAGGTTCGTATAATTCTAAGCGCACTTTCTAAACTTTCTCAAAAACACATATTTGTCCGAAATCGATTAGAAATAAGTCCCTAAGGATAGTATAAAAAGCCCTCAATCCCAATCGATCGATTAAAATATGTTCCAATTCTTATGTACCTTACGGGCTGAAAGATAGCGAATATGAAATGTACCTTACAAAGCGAATATTGGTTCAGGTTACAGTGTATTCAACACAGGGATATCCGATAATCGAAATATAGCGCTTTGACCTTAGTCATCTATTTAGCTGTTTAGTTAAAGTGGGTTAGCCTCTCTCTCTCTTTCAAAGCCTTCACGGCTTTACATTCACCATAAAGATAATAATAAACGACAACACAACAACGGCCAAGTACCGAATTCTTAGTTTCAGAGAATTGATGATGCGAACTAAATATATACACGATCTACAAGAATATCGATAGTTTCTAAAGCTTGCGTACTGGTTTTGAACGCGTAAAGAACTTTTCGATATTGAAAACTCTTCAAATGCAACGTAGTCGTCAAGGGCTTCTCCTGCTTCAATGAAAATGTATTTATTTTTCTAATCGTAATTTCATTTAATACGAAATGTTCTTAAATCGTATAGTAAGTAAGTGGTGGATATTCGGTTTAAAGAGTGCTCGGCTTTTATACAACACTTATTATTTACGCAAAAAGGTGAAAAGTTTTTTATTACTCGACTACTAAAAAATATTTTTCAAATTATATATATCGGGTGGTAAAAATCTTTGGAAACCGTAAATATAATTTTTCGCCCCAGTAACTGGGGCAAATTGTTGAACGTAAACGTTTTTTACTTACTTTTCATTTTGGTTGTTCGAGAAAAATTGCAATAATTTTAATCAAATAAAAAAAAAAAATCCAAAAAAATAAATAAATATTCGTATAGGGACGAATGAATGACTACCCTTATCACCTTAGACAAGGAAACTATATACGAACCGTTCGGATATCAATCTGATTGAACAAAACATATGAAAATCGTAATCACATCATTATTTTCATATCGTTTCCTATATAACTTCGATAAATGTTTGCTTAAAATATGCTCAATAAATTTTGCAAATTCTTCTTCTTCTCCTTCTTCTTCCAAATTTTAATAATTGATTTTAAATATAAAATGTCAATTTTTTTAACTAAGTAAACGCCAAAGTTTTCGTCATCTCTCTCGTTCCAACAAAACAAACAGAGAGACGAGAGGTCGATTGAGATTTGATTAGAGTATCGGTTGGAAGTTTATAGTGATCGCAAATATTATAGTTGTAGAGTATTCGCGAGCACGTGTAATCGCATAAAAAATGCAATTTTAATATTTTGCAAAAATTTTCACAAAAAATCGCTTTGAGTGTACAGAGATTTTTCAATATTATTTTTTAACTTATTATTAACATGTATATGTTAAATTTTAAATTTCCATTCAAATTGTTAGAAATTGGGAGAAGGTAAATGACGAATAGATAGATAGACGGACATTGGCAAATTTCTAAATTCTTTTTCGTTTACAAGCTTTGGTGATGAGTGTAGAGAAAATGAAATTTTTTACAATAAAATAATAAATAATAAAATAAAACAACAAGAGACAAGAACAAAAAACTTTGAAATTTCATATGGTTTGTCTGTATTGGCGTTTTCGAGATTTTGTTTTGCTTTTCATACATACATATATATATATATATCTATATATATGCTAAGCTTAAAAATATTATGAAGTATTTATTTTTCAGTTGTTTTTGTTCTTCTTCGGTATTTTTATTTTTTTTATTATTTTTTTTTTGTTTACTTCGCTTTAATTGTAAAGATTAAGATGCAGCACACATTCATTCATACCATTATTACAAACTATACTAAAAACGTACATACGTTCATTGAGATATATTTATTTATTTAGTATCATTGACAATTTTAATAATATTAAAAATAAATTTCTTTTTTTTTCTTTCTTTCTTTCTTCTTTTTATCAAATATTTTATACAACCATAATGCGTTAAAATATTAAATAATTAGTTTAAAAGTAAAAAGACAAAACAAAAAAAAAAAAAGGAAAAAAACAAAAAAAACTTTAACTTAACTCATACGTAGACACCTTAAACACCTTAAAGTTATAATTTAATGAACTTTTCAAATTGTTCTCGCAACGTAAGAACACAAAAGAAAGGCATGTGATGTTCGATTGGACAAAAAAAAAAAAAAAAAAAAAAAAAAAACGGAAAGCAAACTAAAGCTGACGCCGTGGAATAAACCAAACTTATAATCTACACTTTAGAGTATTATACATAAATTAACTACAAATTATATATATATTTAATGAACTTACTTATGTACGCATGAGTTTTACTGGATTTGCTTCTAAATTAGATTAAAAAATAAAAAAATAAAATAAAAAAAAAACTCCACACAACTAAGAGAGTCTTTCGTTAATAAAAACTAAAGACAGACAGACGTACGTATACAGAGAAATTTTGTTTGTCAATTGTAAATACTTTGCTATTATCGAATCCCGAATATATGCTTATTTGTTAAGGTGGGAATTAATGTGAAGGGGGAGGGGAGGGGGGGGGGGTGAGTTGTGAATACGTATGTATATATAGTACAAACTATTTGCTTTGTTGTACAAACTTATAGTTTGAATGTTTAGTAATAGACATACGTATATACATAAATACGCACATTCATACATATATATATATATGCATAAATATATAAATGCATGTATACATATATCTATAAATGAATGTGCATATTTATGCATGCATGCATGCATGCATGTGTGTGTGTGTGTGTGTATGTATGTATGTATGTATGTAATTGGATTAATATCAAATATTTGAATTTCATGGAAAAGAAATCGTAATAACCTGACAATTTATACCTTATGTAAACAGTGGCAAATGATAAAAATCAAACCCTCGATAACCTTTGGCAGCCAACCAAATGTAGACAACATGATAAGCACCTGGTATGAAGCATATTAGGCCGGCAACAAAAAATACAACACCTTGCGATGTATTGGCCGGATCGGCAACAGCAAATGTTCCCATTACAAACAGCCCTGTACCGACCAGCAAGAGTGTAACTGCTGCCAATACTGTACGCCAATTTTCACGCACTTTCGGATGCCGCCAGCAATATGTGCTCACCTCATCTGTTGAGATGTTTCCATATTCCTGTATAAGCGAATCACTGTCACGTGATGTGGTATCCTCATTATATTTATTGTAGCCCCTATTAAAGAAAATGAAAGAAAAAAAAAAAAAAAAAAAAAAGGGAAAAAAAGATCATAATTAAAATTAAAATATCAATTTGCTTTGACATTGTTAAAGGCGTGGCATTACGTAAAAGAGTCAATTATATTTATACACAGCTTCATTTGTATTTAACGGACACTTTTCATAATAAAGTATTAAAGCTTTTACGAAATCGTATATGACTATTGGAGTACGTACTTCTCGCCTTAATATAGAGCCGCTTTCAGTTCAAGGATGTCAAGGATTTATTATTATTATTATTATTATTAATAAATTTTGCCAGAGAATAAATTCTAAGACTAATATCTAAGGCTTTCGGTTTTATTAAAAACTCTACCGCACTTGACATTTGAACCCACGACCATTGAGTTGCAAGTCGAGACACTTGCCTACGCAGCCACTCAGGCGGATTGCTAAGGATTTAACTTAAGAGAATGGCCCCCAAGCGGACTTTGTTTTAAACAACGTCATTTCTTTGTAGACTTGGCGAAAGGGACTGTTCGAAGAGATGCTGAGTTCCGAAAATTCACGCAATCAACTAGCAATCATGCTTGCTACACCGTGCACTTATTTGTCCTATGAGGCATGTGCTTTTCCGTTGATACTAATACTAAATTTTGATAAATTGAAGCAAAAGGAGCAAAGCAAAGAAAAGTGAAGCATAAAAGTGATTCCATATTTATATCTATTACCGGATAACTGATAGCGGTTCGCAAGGGTGGGAGGATAAGTTCGAATTTAAATTGCAAACACTAGCGTCTTGTAAAGGCTTTAACGTAGCTCTGTTAAGTTGGACCGTTCCATCGTCAAAGGATGACGGTATAGGAAATCTGTTTTTCCATTTGTAGCGCTTAAAAACCCCTTATTAGAAAGCATATAACGTGTACGTAATAAGTCTGCCGAGTATTCCGTGCGTCTTTCCGTCGGTCCGTTCAAATATCTCTGTTAATGCGTTTACGAGCCGTGAGAAGTAAAAATACCTTTTCTGGATTTTTGCAAATAAGTTTGAAAATTTGCATGAAACGCACACAACCGCATCTATAAAAAGCAGGAACTAATGTAAAATTTGATAAAGAACTTTTATAAGAACCATTTAATTTTTCAATCAAAATCGGCTATGTAACGAGTTAACGATGTAAAAAACATTATGTTAACAAATCGATTTCCAGTAGTGGGTATCAGATGAAGTTCAAAAGGTCCCAAAATATGCCGAATACGAGGATGCGTAAACGATTTGTAACTTATATAAAAGTGTTTAATTAAAATATATGACATTACTCAATAAGTTTCCAATCTGACACATATACGATATCGTAGTACTATGTATATCTTTAAGTAAGAGTTACAATAGAATTTCAATAATAAAATGTAGATCAAAATTTGGTCAAAATTATTTTGATTGAAAATTTTGCAATTTTATAGTGTAAACCTAACGATAAAATAAATAGAATCTTATCTCGCAATAAGGGTGGAAACAAATAAATTTACTGTCAGGGTATAATTAATCATTTAAATGTTGTTTCTCATTAACACTGAAGCCCTGACAGTGGCTGATAAATAACAACAAATTACATCATTTTAAACTGCGTTTCTATTCAATGATCAGAGTTAAAAACATACACATACACATACAAATATATACAAACACACACACATACATATACACACACGTTCATAACTTTCATTCTTGTCGGTCAATAAATACGTTTAAATGCAAATACATTTGCATTGGCATGCTATGCTTGCTATTTATTGTGTTAACATATCGATCTCTATATGTAAATAAAAAATTAAGCATTTTTTTTTTTTGCAAATATATGCCTTTTAGTTTCTTAATTTATTTGTACAATGCGAATAATGTGTAATTATCTCGTTTATGTGCATAGTTATAAGTACACTCCAAAAAAACAAAAAAAAAAAGAAATAATGCCCCTAAGCTAGTTTTTATGATGATATAGATATGCATAAATATGCATGAATACGATGCGTGACTTCGAAGAATTTACATTTTAGTGCACAATCAGTGCTGGCTATATTGTCATTGCGTCCAGCAGTTATAATGCCACTAACTACTGTCGGCCCCCCTCTGTTTACAAATCAAAGCAATACATTGACTTGATTGTCATATTGACATTGTGTCCCCTATACTCACTCACCACATATTAGATCGTCAAGGATGAAATTTGTAAAAAAAAAAAAAAAAAAAAAAAAAATAATAGGCAAAGTGTGCTGTGTACTTATATTAAATTATGCGCCTTTATTGTCTACACACTTTTGCCATTTAAGCCGGCCGGGTTGTTCAGGACGATTGTGAATCCTGATATATCGCTACATTACCGCAAAGTGATCTTTTTGGTCAATATTGTTTTTCTTAGAAAACTCGTTGATGATGTTGCACGACTTTCAAGAGGCGTCACTTCGGCCGCCTATAAACGATTCTTCATTTTAGATGAGACCAAGCAATTAATGTTCTTTGCACAGTTCTTCGATTGATGCATACTCTTAACGACTGACAAGTTCAATTTTTTAAAAATGTTATCGTAGAACTTTTATCACGCATAGCGGACATAGAGTACAACATTTACTTGTCACATAACTTGTATTATTTTTTTTTAAATCTTAAGGGCTTAAAACACTAATGCGGAGAATTTCTTACAAAATCATTCTTCGACTAAAGCATAACGTTATCAGTGCTTTAGCAGTATTCTGCTTCTCATTGCTGAAAAGCTACATTGATTTTACACTCAAGTGAGCAAAGTAAAACATTACGTGAAGCTTGAATAACTAGCTTGTATACGAAACATTTACTCATTGAAAGAAAGAGATTTCACTCTTCGTCACGATATGGTGTCAATATCGGAGGAGACAACGATTCGGTTCATAGGGAAAATGAATTCTGAAAAGCAGTGGCGTGGTGCAAGTGATTAACTTGCATTCGTTCAACTCCGACAAGCGATTGATTCCCCTCTCTACCAACAGTAGTTGATGCGATTAAAGCGCAAAATTCAACTAAAGCAAAACTGTCGTCTTCCATCACAACAATGCCAGAAGCATGCGCGCACCTTTAATGACTCCCGAAAAAATGGACAAAGCCTGTTTGCATAAGTTTTGATGCATCGCCATCCATGCTATAGGCCGTATCTTATTATAGAGATTGAATATCATTTTTTTCACTCTTTCAAGCGAGGCATGCGGACATCGCTTGCTTGAGGGCTTGAGTAGCTTTGAACTAATGCATAATGCAAATAGTGTCAACAGAGAGACGGCACAAAATTAGTTTAATTTAATCGGTTCATATAAATTATACGAAAAACTTTATTATTGAGTAAATGTTTGACCGAGTAAGGAAAGATTGAGCCTGAGAATTGAATTGAAAGACTAAAATAGTCCGTCCAATGATAATAAATCGATGATCAGCAAATTCGAAACTTGATTTTAAAATACATGTTAAACGCCGGTATTGTTTCGTTAGACATTAGGAATATATTGAATGCGATACGGTTTGGAAATGTTCTGAATTGATTGAAATTTTTTCTTTTGTGTACAATCCCTACTATGTATGCATATCCATACAATATTAAATACTATAATTAAAATGCGAAACGCTTGTAAACATTGGTATGCAAACTATTTTTACACGACACAGACACAGACAGAACAAAAAAAAAAAAAAAAAAAAACAACAACAAAAGCGAGAGCGGTAGTATGTCTACAATGAAGAGCGTCTCTAAACGTTTCTTTTTATGCAAATATAAGACTTTGCATGGACCTTTCAAAATTTGATATAATTTCTATCTCTAATATGAAATTTTAAATTATTATTATATCCTACGTCACTTGTGGTACATTAAGGGGTATATTAAGTTAGTGCGGTAGTGCGTAAAACGCAGAAGAGCATAAGATAGATCCGCCCTTTATTATACCGATCCATTTAGAATCATAAATCGAATTGATCTAAGTGTGTATGTCCATCTGTCCGTCTGATGTGTTCAAGTTACGGGTCACATTTTTTGGTGATATTTCGCTGAAATTTGGTCCGGCTACGTGTTTTGACCCAAGGACGAACACTATTGAAAATGGTTCGGATTGATCCATTTTTCTGAAAAGTCGTTGTGCGGGGGAAAAAATTAACATTTTCAAAATTTCTCAGCAAAAGTGAGTAAGTAGTAGCATTTGGGCATTTTACATTGGTATGAAATCTTTGGATAGGCTGGGGGCAATTTTCGAACCCACTCCTCTCATATATCAAAAACTGAAATTCGCACGAATTCATTATAGTAATTTGTGATAAAAAAAATTAACTATGCCAAATTTGAACCATCTTGGTCTAGTTTTTGCGCCCTACCTTAATAAGGATTTTTTTGAAAATTGATTTTTTTTATAGAGCAAAAAAGCCCAAGTTTTAATATGTGATGATGAAAATTATGGTGTAAGGTATTTAATGGTTGGTCTTGCCCGACTATAATGTTCTTATTTGTTTTTTTTTTTTTTTTTTTTTTTTGAAGAAGGTTTCATTCCCAAACTATATAAAATTTCAATTGCACGCAGCAAGTGTAGGAAAAACATATCAAATGTTTTTTGTTGTTCAACCACAATAATAAATATGAACCGATATAATATGCAAATATACAGGCACGTAGATGTAACAAAATTTTTTTGTAATTAATTGCAAAATAAGAAGGAAAACAACACAACATGCGAAACCACAATTATGACGATATTCGTTATACGAAATCTTACAAGTGCCTTCAGTAAAGCAAGAAAAAGAAGAAAAAGAAAAGAGATTATATTTGGTTCGTATCGATTCTTTAAATGCCCGCCTGCTAATATATATTTGTCATAATAAATATTACAAAAATTCTTGCACTTAAGACTATCGCGTACCTTATTCTAGTGCACGTATCCCTTTCATTCAGTGCAGTAATGGGAAACTTACGCCCTCTGTCTCTCTCTCTCTCTCTCTCTCTCTCTCTCTCA